GGGGGAGGGGGAGGAGACGACAATGACGACGACATCAAATAATACTGGGATAAAACTCAAACACATGGTTACCCAGTTTTTACTATTCCTATTAAGAGACAACTCGCATCTTTTAAGCAAATTATGCCACAATGAAAAACTCTTCACATAAAAAGAAAAGCACATTAGCAACAGACTTTCCATTAATTTTTTTTTTTGTACGAGGAATCAAATCCAGGGCCTCATGCTTGCCAGGCAGACATTACCACTGAGCTACATCCCTGCCCTGCTATTGACATCTTGATAACTGCAAACTACCTACCAGTGTATTGTCTTTGGATATTAACCAGTGCTAATTTTAAGAAAAAGCTGAGAGTTTACAAAGAAAAGAGCACGAACTCTAAAAAGTGCAAGAACTTCTAAGCCTGGCCCCCGGTGGAGAGACTAACCCAAGACGTCAAGAGGCAGTTTTGGGCTCTAGACTAAGAGGCTGTAACACAGCAGGACTGAAAAGCTGAGCTGCAGCGTGGTCTCGCAGCTCTGTGACCCCTCCAGCCCTGCCACACAATGCAGCATGAAGCTGCGTGTGGCCACAACTTCACAAATGCAGTTTCAAAAACCGTAAACTCCAGCCAGGATTTCAAATTAGACTAGTTGGGAAGCAATAAAGAAAAAAATGAGGAGAGGCCTTTTAATTCTCAGAATAATTTAATACAAATGTTTGGTAGGTGTGGCTACCACCAAAAAGTGTAAGGAAAACGTACATGAAAAGATGTGCTGCCATAATCCAATCAACCTGTAAGTACCCAAGAAAAGTTACTATTTTATTTCCAATAATTAATTGCCTATAATCATCCTTTGTTCTAAACAGATTTGACATATAAAATATTATGAAGGGCTGGTGAGATGGCTGAGTGGTCTAAAGCACCTACTTAGAACAAACCTAGCAAAGCACAAGAACCGCGGTTCAATCCCCCAGCACCACATGCCAGCCAGCCCGCCCCCTGGTGGGCTGAGCTGGCCACACACACACACACACACACACACACATAAATA